TGAGGAATAATCATGGTTTTATGATTGTGACGATTATTATGCATTTATTCATTATTATTTTGAGCGAGAAATGATAATGGTCTAATCAGATTCAATGATCTATGCTAAGCTAAGCTAAAAGTGCTACCGCCACCCAGAGATCGGCTGAATGGATTCGAAAACGGTAAAACTCAACTGTTTAACTCTAGGGGAGTTGGAAAATGAGCCTATTTTCAAAAAAAGTGGAGTGATCCTTTAAGCGCTGCAAGCCATGCATACAGCACCGAACATGACAGGCTTTCTGGTACGCAAAACAAGTACTTTAAAGGAATTCCTTTAGCTTATTGCCATTACTGTGGCAGCCAACAACAGCACAGCTTAACCCTCCGCACATTTTTATATTTAGTTATATTGAAAAAGTTTAATTCAGTCCATCCTTTTTACCCCGTTTTAACTCTTCAATGGCTGTGCGAAGTTGCTGGATATTGGCAGGAACTGGAACACGCTGTCGTATACGCTGATCCAGAGCATCCCAAACATGCTCAATGGGTGACATGTCCGGTGAGTATGCTGGCCATGCAAGAACTGGGATGTTTTCAGTTTTCAGGAATTGTGTACAGATCCTTGCAACATGGGGCCGTGCATTATCATGCTGCAACATGAGGTGATGGTCGTGGATGAATGGCACAACAATGGGCCTCAGGATCTCGTCACGGTATCTCTGTGCATTCAAAATGCCATCAATAAAATGTCCCTGTGTTCGTAAATTTCTTTTGTAGGCTATTATTTACCTGAATACTACTGTTAGACCTTAATGTTTTCTAGTATCAAAATTATATATAAACTTTTTATATATAAATCTTAAACACTAAATGCTTTCAACTAAAAATGCTTTCAAATGCGTGCATTTACAAATAAATGTTTTATATTTATTTTTTTTAAATAGTAATGCGGTTTATTTGCTATAGATTTTTATATTTCAGAATATAAAGCCATTTTTTCATTGAAAAACAAACATCAGCAAAAAAAAGCGTACTTTTAAAGAACTGGACTGATGTGCAGTATAGTAAGAATAGTAAAACCTTAACGATACTCGTCCCTATAAGTCAGTAGGAGAGAGATCCATCTCATTAGTTTTCACTTTTACTTTCAGTAATTATTGATCACTTTTGCTCGGAGTAATTATTAATTAAATGTTACCTTTTAATTAATTCATCATCTTTCCTTTTTATATTTTATCAATAACTTTTATTGTCTGCTGATTGTATTTGCATTAGGGAATTGTTTGCTTTTTGGGCTTTCTCAATAAAGCTATTGAATTGAGAACCTTTATTGTCATTGTATTTTTCTGCAATGAAATTAGGAGCACTGCTTCTGACTGGTGTTAGAAAACAAACATATTACTGCAGGCAATAATTAATACTATAGACTGTAAAGTACAATTATAAAAGTATATACAACGTGAATGAGTCATAATATTGCACATTGGGCAATCTGATTAAAGTGAGTATTGACAGTACTGCACATTGACCTCTACATTCATATGAAACAGTAAGTATATACAAAAAGTACAAACTGAAATGGAATAAGTGGCAGCAGGGATTAGTGACCAGATATAGTCTTGTACATTGACATGCCACATTTAGTCTTAAAGTCCTGATAAAGTGATTAGATGATAATATTGCACATTGACATTCTGCATATTGCATAAAAACAGCAGTATAGACAGAAAAAAGACTGGAATGAATGAAGAGACTTTAGTTGAATAACGTGACTGGAAATATAATTTTAACATTGATCTTTGCCTCAGTGTATTTATGAGGTAAAGTCCTGACAGCAACTGGAATGAAACTGTCCTGTAAGCGAGAGCTCCTTGTTCTTAAGGATCTGTGAGATGCAGTGCACTAGAGGTGCAGTGCACTAGAGATGCAGTCCACCAGAGATGCAGTACACTACCGAAAATGCTTTGTAATAATGACTTAATATTTTATTAAATAATATAAAGTCATTTTGTAAGACTTTTAATGAAAGTGACACAAAAAATTGGACAGAAAATATATCAATATTAAATATCAATATATTATTTTTATTCAGCATTATCAGCGCTGACGCCTTGTCTGGATCACATCCCTTAGGTCTTGCCTACCTCCCTTTGACCCGCGATTCTTCCTACCCCTACCCGCGGGCGGGGGAGGAGCGCGAGCCACGACACTAGCCTTCTGAGCCAGTCTCTGATCCT